TAGCTTTTGGCTCATTCCAAACTGCATACTGCCAGAAAGATCAGAATGAATGGACAGACAATTCACACTCTTTCTTGTCAAAATTGAAGACTTATCTTATGAAGAAGGGCAAATCTTCAAGAATATATAGGATATGTGGTGGAAGACTAAAAATGTCATTTGCAGCCCCTTTTAACATGGTTTGATCCTTCACATAAGAAACACTATTCAGATTTATGATAACTAAGTTTCCACAAGCATTGTTGAAGGCTTTCAGGGCTGGAATCATTGGAGCATTGTGTGGTTTCCAGGCTGTATGTGTTCTACAGCTTTCCACATTGTCTCAAGTTTCCACAGATTTCCACAGTTAAACCAATGTGCTTCTCATGTTGAGCGCTATTGAGAACGCTCAGGAAAAATGGCTTATACTGCATTTATTTGCTTACAATATTTATATTCTGCCCTTCTCACCCCACAGATTACAATGCACATATACATGGCAAACATTCAGTGCCATTTGACATACAACATGTATAGACAGACACAGAGGCAATTTAACATTCCAGCTTTTCGGCTTTGTGAGGGTATGCTTGATTCCAGCCACAGAGGGAACTGCCACTTCACCGTTCACTTGTGACATTGAGTCCTTGATAGAGTACTTCCTCATTCTTATGCACATTGCTGGGAGATTTTATGGTGTTGTGAATTAATTAAATTAGCCTCCCCGCATAAAGCAGTACCTAAATTTCCTACTTGACAGATTCAACTGTCTTTCAGGCTGTCTTACTGCATGTCCTTAGGCTTATACAAAATAAAATAGAAACCTCTGCCCCTGTGAAGTTATGAATTTGCTGTGAGTGCATAAGCAATTTGAATATTTTACCTCGAAGAAATGCTGCTTGTGAGTTACTAATAAGTATCTGGAGGTCCAGAATGCCAGACCAACTCAATTGACTTATTCTTTCTTCATGTGCTCTTATGCTCATACTAAACATTACAAAGAAGTTAGAATACTGGGAACACAAATGTATCCCTCTGATCATATTCAGAGTATATTCATACATCACTACCTCTATTATTGAGAGATAGTGTGGGTGGTTTTACACTGCCCACTTACCCTGGTGCTGATCCAGCATTGTGAACACTGGATTGGCTCCAGAATGGTTTACATTGCCCCTTCCCATGTCACTGCAGAGGCAGGAGGAAGTCCTGACCAATCGGCAGTGCCAAATCTGGTTGGGCCCTGCCAAGTGCCCACCCTTATCATTACCTCCCATCCGCCTAGTCATGGAGGCCTCTGGGCACACAACATGGGTTGTGCTAGTTGCTCATTGGCTGCTGTGTTGGCTAGGGCCCATAGCAACAGGGGAGAGGAGAGAGCAGTGTCACTCCAGGAAATGGGTAACTGGCACAACTCATGCCTTCTAGCCACCAGGACCAGGATGAATGGGAAGAGATGCTAAGTACCATCCTGTATCCCCAGGCCATCCAAGTCTTGGAAACATGGAGTGGCCATGTAAAGTTACCGACAATTCCTTCTTAGTTTTGGTTTGCCCCAGATTCTGTGGCAGAATTTTGAGCAACTTGAGACTTTGTTAAAGCAATTGACCTTTGGCCCATGTTAATGTGTATCAGCTCCATGCATAGCTTAGCCACTACAGACCTGATTCAGAGGCCCTTCACACTAAGTGGTTCCTGATTAGTGTAGATGTGCTCTTTGAGTCAATTATTGTTATTGTTATGTGCCTCAAAGAAAACTTTGACTTATGGTGACTTAATATGGGGTGGGGTTTTTTTTTTTGCAAGAGTTATTCAGAGGAGGTTCAAAATTGCCTTCTTCTTCTACTGAGCAAATCTGACTTGCTTGAAATCATTGAGTAGGTTTCCATGAATGAATGAGGATTTAAACTTTGGTCTCCCAGGCCCCTTTTACACTGCCATTTAATCCAGAGTATCAAGCACATGATCTGCTTTGAACTGGAATATATGAGTCTACACTGTCAAATAATCCAGTTCAAATCAGATAATCTGAATTGTATATGGCAGTACAGAAGGAGTCCTAAAATCCTAGTTGAACACTCAAACCATGACACCACACTGGCTTTTTGTGAGATACTTGCTTACGCATTACTCTTGGTAAAGTTTTCAAGTGGGCAGTAATTACTAGTCTTGCAGTAGTGTTATCACCTATATCATTAATTCTCTTCTAATGTTGCTAGGAATAGTATCATCTATATCTCTGCAGCTTTCATAACCTTGCTGGCAATCAACATACCAACTATTTATAATGTTAAAAGCTGTCCTGAGTCCCCCTTCAGGGATTGAGAAGGACGGGATAGAAATGCAATAAATAAATAAACTTCTACTCTGCTTGATAGGCACCATGATAATAAGGTGTTCCTTATTTATTTCAGAAACTAGCTTGGGGACTCGGTGCTGCCCGGGTTATTTGAGAAAGGAATTGTGTATCAAGGTTGGTCTTTATTAGTTATTTATATGGCTTGCAGTGGTCTCAGGAAGTTAGTGAAGGTACTTCAAGTCCCATAATCTGTGGTCCATCCTCCTCCAAATTGCACCAGAATGGAGAGTGGGTTGTGGGGGCTCTGTGCACCAAATTTTGTTCTTGATCAATCATTGGATGAGGGTCACAGTGGTCTCAGAAAGTGAGTTTAGGAACAGCAAGTCCCATCCTCCATAGTCTGTTTTCCCCCAAACCTCACCAGAATGTTGAGTTGGCCAAGGGGGCTCTCTATGCCAAGTTTGGTCTTTGTTGGTATTTGGATAAGTGTCGCTGTGGTTTCAGGAAGTGAGTGAAGGTACTGGAAGTCCCATCATCCATCATCCGTCCTCCTCCAAACAGCATCAGGATGTAGAGTGGGTCATGGGGGCTCTGTGTGCCAAGTTTGGTCTTGATCGGACATTAGATGAGGGTTGCAGCAGTCTTGGAAGGGAGTGGAGGTACTTGTAGTCCCATAATCCATGGTCTGTCCTCCTCGAAAGTGCACCAGGATGTAGAGTGGGTCATGGGGACTCTGTGTGCCAAGTTTGGTCTTGATCAGTCATTGGCGAGGGTCTCAGTGGTCTCAGGAAGTGAGTGAAGTGACTGCAAGTCTCATCATCCATTGACAAATTCTTCCAAACCGCACCAGGATGTAGAGTGGCCCTGATCCATCATTGTTGGCAGTTGTAATGGTCTTAGGAAGGGAGTGCAGGTATTCCAAGTCCCATCGTCCATGGTGCATCCTCCTCCAAACTGCACCAGGATGTAGAGTTTGGTCTTTATCGGTAATTGGATGAGGGTTGCAGTCATCTCAGGAATTGAGCAAAGGTACTGCAAGTCCCATAATCCATGGTCCATCCCTGGCCAAACCACACCAGGACATAAGGTTAGGGTCCTCCGCATAAGGTGGGTCATGAGAGGTCTATGTGCCAAGTTTGGTCCTGATCAGTCATTGGATGAGGTTAACAGCGGTCTCAGAATGCGAGTGATGGTACTGCAAGTCCCAACATCCATGGTTCATCCTCCTCCAAACTGCAGTCGAGTGGGTCATGGGGGCTCTGTGTGCCAAGTTTGGTCTGGATTGGTAATTTTCTGACCCAGCCCCTGGCCTTTTCCTTTCCTCTCTTTGTCATCTCGGAATCTTGGAATTGAGGCTGGCCAATCAGAGACCATATGCAAATTTCCTTCTCTCATGTCTCTGTTTCTGTCATGAACCCTTTTCTCCACCAGGGGCTCCTGTAAAGCTGGCCAATCAGAGACCATATGCAAATAGCACCACAGCGGCAGCCAATCAGGATCTTGGAACTTTCAGGTTGGCCAATCGGAATGCTGGCACATACACCGCCACACCGCCACACTTTTGTCCTCCGCATACAAACTTTGACTTTTATTATATACATAGATAGATAGTTTTGTGCAGACTATTCAAGAGTAATATTTTTGAGCTTTTGCTATTATAGAGGGTTAGGCATTTGAAAGGTAGTATGAAAACACTGAGCATTTATGAGTTCACAGAAGTAGGACAAAGATAACAATACAAAAGCATTCTGCAAACAGAAAGGAATAAAGCATTCGCAAAAGGAAATTAAAATATTAGCTTTATTACTTTAAATAATCTTATAGGGCTCATACAGGGATCATAGCTTCTTTGGTATAAGAGACTACAGAGATATACTAAAATTGACTCACTTGGTGGCAAATTGTGTTTTTTACAGTTCTATAGTGATTTCTCTGCACCTGGTTTCCATAAATGTAGATACATTAAAGTTTAACTAAAGCTAATATTAATGTAAGTGTAAAAGAATAATAAAAGAAATGTTTAAATGGTGGGAAGAAAAATATGCCATTTTCATTGTGGACAGAGATCCAAGATTAAGTAAAATAGAGTATTTTCATCAAAAACTTAAGGCCTGAAAAGGTATATGGTGTGAAAAATATTAAGGAGACAGATGAGAGTATAATTGTTCACTCAGAAGTGTTCTGAATAAAGTTTTCCTAGAGGAGAATATTATTTTGTAGTAACTTACTTTTACCTATTATAATAGAATTTAAAATGACAGTATTTCTCAGATGAACCAACATTGAATCAGGGATTTTAGCTTCACTTTCCTCCTGTCTCTGGTTTCTCAGTATGGGAGGAGGGTCGCAAACCAATGTGTAACTTACCAAATTCCACAGCAACCTAGGAAATGTGCATTCCTTTCTTTTCATGGTGGAATGGGCAGGGGACAAGTCTTCAAGAACACAAATTAGAGAAAGCCATCAAAGACTACACATAATTAAACTTTTCAAAGTCACATTGAAGCTTTTCATTCACCTTCCCCCTCCACTCCTCTTCTGTGGCTCTCATCTTAAGTTACCTGCTTATTCCCCCCAGCCATCCCTCCAAAATATTACCCCTCTTAAAACTGTTGCAGGAAAACCCCAAAAGTTGTAATGCTGCTTCTGGTTGTCATTTTTGGCCAAATTATGGTCAAAAATGGAGTGAGGAGCAAAAATTGCTCTCTCAGTTGCACACCCCATCGCTTCTCAGCCTTTTGGCTAAGATCAAGTGTAGTATCTGTTCTTATCAGTTGCACACCCCACTGTCTTCAAAATAGAAAGACGTTTTTTTTAATCTTGCCAGAAGCAACTTGAGAAACTGCAAATCACTTTTGGTGTGAGACAGGCATGTAGCCGGGGGGGGGGGGGGCTTGGGGGGCTTCAGCCCCCCCAAATTCTCATGGTGGTCCGCGAGAAGGCCTTACTGGTGCATTATTTAAACTGTTATGTTTATTCATATCATGATCTGATCACCATGCTCAATATATCCCATATGCATGGGGGTATTGGGGTAATGATACAAAAGGTTTGCTAGGGTAGACCCTCTTTCACTCAGACTCAGCCCCCCCCCTGAACCAAACTCAGCCCCCCCCCCAAAAAAAACAAAATCCTGGCTACGGGCCTGGTGTGAGAGAATTGGGCGTCTGCAGATACGTTGCCCAGGGGATACCTGGATGTGTTACCATCCTGTAGGAGGCTCCTTTCATATCCCCACATGGGAAGCTGGAGTGACAGGCAGGAACTCACCCTGTCTTATGGATTCAAACTGCCAACCTTCAAGTTAGCAGTTCAGCTGGCACAAAAGTTTAACCCATTGCACCACCACGGTGCCATAGCAAGTCAAATGATATCTTACTCAAAGGAACAAGCCTACACACATACACACACTACTAGAAATGATCCTACCCCTATCGTAACTAATTGTTGTGATTCAGAAATCTTAATTTTTGACTGCACCAAATGATAGATTTCAATCCAAAGACCCAGGCTTTTTTGTATTCAGAAAGCACACAATCTCAATGAATGCTTCTTAAAGCTTTGTAACAAAGTACAGCAGGACTGAACAGGACCTCGTCAGTTTGCTTTCTCCATTTACAAGTTTCCTGCTTAGTCAGCTAGCAAACAAGCCAGATTGATTTTGATGGAGCTATCTACTCTGATTTTATAGACTTGATTTATACAGACTTATTCAATAGCACTATAATCTCTAGTGAATAGTTTTCTACAGCTTCATTTGTGCATGTCCTACCACATTTGTAGTCCTATTTAGTGGTTTGTTAGATGTATTGCTTTTGTGAAAGACTAAATGAAATGACAGAATAACTCTACTTTTTCTCCCTTAAGTCTCCCACATTTTTTGACTCAGGATTAATATAAATTATTTTAATTATAATTGTGGATTTTAAACAGGATAAGAAACATTTGAGGTTGATATTGGAAACCTGTACTCAGTCACACTGTACGCTTCATGTATCTAAGAACTATTGTGCCAAACAAATTTGGTATAATGATTAAGTGGTGCAAGGAAACAATCCTATGAAACTTACACTGGAGTAAATTTCACTGAAAACAGGGAATTTACTTCTGTGAACAGAGAAGGATAGATTCAAATTCCAAATCTTTTTTTCCCAAGTTATCGATTTAACTCAGTCAGATTTGGTTTGAGGTAGACTACTGAGTGATGTGGAAATGGCCATGCAGTTCCTAGTACATAGATCAAAATTGCTTCAGGAAATAGAGGTACTACACCAATGCTTCCATCTGTAAACACATCAACAATGGACATCACATTTGGGCAGATCTTTGTTTGATCAAACAGCCTGGGAATGTGAAAGCATTATAAAGTAACAAGTCCTATTTTGAAATTGTTTTTACATTCCAAAGCAAGGAAAAAACATTAGTGGGTATGGGGAAAACACTGCTTTTTATAAAGCCTAAGAGAATATTACATGAAGTCAGACTCAGAGACACATTTCTGCAGCCCTTTCAGTATCAGCATATATTTTCAACCATATAATTAGCTCTGATTCCTTTTCATTTATCTAGGGTTTCATTGAAATGAAATAATATTATTGTCAACTCCATAAAAGCAGATATCAACACCCAGCTAAACAATTCTGTAGAGCAAAGTGTTTAGACAAGATCATGCTGATCTCCAGGAAAGAGAAGAAGGGGGGAAAGGGAGAACAAAGCCTGTATTTTCTGGCCTCTGTTGCATATATTATATTGCCTGGAAGTACTTTCAACAACGACGCCAAGGAAGCTCAAAGGCCTACCCTATAACCTCTAATCTTAGGGAGCTGAACTCTATTATTTGCCATTAAAATGAAAGGATGCCATGCTGAAACAAATGTCTTCAGCAAGACATGTCCTCATTACAGATGAAATTTAGGCAAATGGAAATTGAGCTACAAATTTCATTTTGTAGATTATGGGTCTGAAGAGCCTTGTGGCTGGGTCTGGCATTTAAAAACACGAATTAAAAAAAGCTCTCAGAAAACCAGGCACTAATTAATGGCTCAGCAGTTTGGCTGAATCACAATGTAGCATCAGGGAGGTTACAGTTTAGCAATAACCAGTTACCCCAAACACAGCAGAACCAGGTCATGCAGTGCCTGACACTGTTTAGTGGGTCCATGTTGTGCATCTCAATAAAGCATTTTAATTAACTCAGGAGAATGTGAGACAGTGGCGCTCTGAAGAAAATCTTCCAGAAGACTTTTAATAAAAACAAACTGGAGGTTGCATAATGTGATATGAGAATTTTATGAAAACATGCCAGTGCAGGTGTTTGAATGAAAACCAAGGGATTCAAGGTGATCTCTGTATTTATGACAGTTAAACAAAAAAAGGCCAGGAACCAGAGACAAAGGTATTTTAATTACAACATTTAAGCCGACATATCCAGTATTATGAATCTGCCATCTTCAACTTTAAGTGCCTAATATAAAAATACAAATATTAATATTCTATATATCTGGATGCATTTCCATATGCCTCTAGCAATTGGATTAGAGTGTCTGGGTTCCAGAGTTCAAGGACTATCCACAACCACACACACTTTTAATAAATTGTTTTCAAACATGCTTGACGTCTACATGAACTTAATCATTTAAGTAATATCTAACTCTGCCTATGGGCACGGTGAAAACAGAACTTAAATATACAGTTCAGGATTTGTTTTATGAACTTTTAAGGAAAGACACCACTTCTACTCTGTTGATGAGCTAAATGCCCTGTTTTACTTTCCCTTGTGGCAAAGAGAAAAGAAAGATTCACTTCTGAAGAATTTGTCATGGAGGCATTTCAAACACATTGAACTGGGCTACAATGATACATGAAGCCAGGGGAGAAAATTAGATAGTGAGTTAGAAATCTTATTGGGAATTCTTCTTGTAACAATGCAGAAAAAAAGAGATCAAATACCGTTGCACTTACTGTAGTTAGATAACTCTGTAGTGGATGTCTAATGCAACTTCATTTCTCCCCTTTTCTTTGTAGGAATAGAATCTGAGTAGAAATATCACTAATAATGGTAGTTACTCAAAAGTGTGATATTTGCACATCTATGAAGCCAAATTGGTCCTTTTGGTGTTTATTCTATTTTTAGCCATTTAATTGTGATTTGATTAATTTGATTGTTTAATCTGGACTTGTTACAAACATATATAAAGCATTTTTAAAGTAAATGGGATATATGGGTAAAGTGAATGACTCTTTTTCATTTCCAGCAACAAAATACCCCCCCCCCCATGTTGTTCTTCCATTCTAACTTGTTTTTCACATGTTTAATATCAGCTTCTCTTGGTTTAGAGAAGGATCTTTACTAGATGAAAGAGGTTATAACTAGTTTGCCCCAAAGCCAAGCATGAGTAGTGAATATGATCCAATCAATACCTTGTAAAAATGCAAGCTCTCAATAACAATACAATAACTCAGATAGGCTATGCAAACAAGACCAACACCCACTGTCAGATTTACCAAAATCACCTATGTTCATAAACTAGTTGTAAATATTACTACAATCTGAGTCTGTCTTCTAAAGAAATGTGCCCTACTACAACTCAACAACTCCTTAGAATAATTAAATGTAGATATGGATGTAAATGACCTGTCCACTGCCGCTTTGAATGATTGTTTCTTGTGTCCAGTAGCACCTCTGGAGGTTCAGATTGATGTGTACAGTTCTCAGACACCAAATCTCTGCCTTCATCAAGAAACAGTTCTGTGGTGGCATCTCATTCTGCATCTATGCAGCATAATCTGAGCCAGAGATGAATTATCCACTCATAATTTTCTAAAGAAATTGATAGAATGACTCAGCCTATGAATTTGGTCACAAATGTATAGTGTTAGCAAGGAAGCAGTTCCCTTTCTCATAGAATTTCTGTCACTGTTGGAGGTAGTAAAATCATGCATTCATGTCTTTATATAGTGTAGCACCAAAGCTGTAGAAATCGGTGGCAGTTCACCATGTTAATATTGCATCATTATCATTTGGACTGAAGCATAAAAAGGCCCAGTAACTGCAATGCTTATGAATTTCAGAAAAGCCAAATATTATTCTGTACCATCTCAGAATGCCTTCTTCAACATATGTTTAAGAACTTGGACCAAGAACTGTGGGACTTGATTGTTTTAGGAGCATGCTTCATGCTTTGGCCAATTTCTGCACAACATGACTTGCAAATGACAACATGGTTGGAGACAGTCTGTTCAGGAATGCCATGATGATAACAATCTGATTTCACTTTTGTTCCAACAGTAGGAGCTCTTATAATGTAAGTGAAGAAATCCAGGATAGATTTTTGGAGTAATGATCTGTTTCAGGAGGTATGAGTGGCATGAAGGTCAAGAATCCCAGTTGCAATTTTCAATCAGGGAAGGCCAAATCTCATGTGTCAGTATAGGTTAACTCTGGTTGCTAGACTGTAGAACTGACACACAATATCCTCCTTATCTGTTGATATATGCTTTTGAGTTTAGCTGTTACATCAGAAGTCAGACTCTAGCTTTGTTTCTTTGGATTTATTTGGATAATAAGTACAACCACCTGAACATGGTATAGTCTTAGATATAATGTTGCGAGTATGTGCTATTGGGTTTAATGTCTGTAATCCTGTAGATTAACTTTTCATCTAGAAAAATATTTGTTGTCCTAAGACGCATTCCTTTCTCTTTAGTGCAGACAATGTCTATTTCATACTATTGGGGCTGTAAAAGCATTCTTTTTCTTGGGGAAGATTGCTTTCAAGACATTGTGATCTGACTGGACCAATTCTGGTTGACCAATAATTTCTTGATGAAGCATTCCCATGATGGTAAGAAATATTTTCACCTCTCATATTTCCCTACCCAAATTGGATTAATAGACATCTCAAGATATTTTATTAGAATCA